TAATGAAATATATAAATACAAAACAAATGTAGGAAATCGAGATTAGAGAAAAGTATCACGAGGGTAAACGAAAATTTATCCAATCCGAATATCATAAATCAGCAAAAAACTTTTCCCATTACAGATCAATAAAACTTTTGAGGTAGGATTTGCAAGAAGATATACGGGAGGATTTATGGGCTTTTCCATGAGAAGTGTTCACAAGTGCTTGAAAAAAGTAAGGTCATTCGATCAAATGTGACTATCGATCAAGACTGTTCCATTATTTCTGTTTTGGAAAAGAGCATGGCCCACACCCCGTGGTGTCTAACTTAATTCTGATTGCATCTTTCTTCAATAACTTAAACTTTTAGACAAGGTAGTTGAACAATATGAAACAAAAGTTTTAGAAACAATACAATGGGCAAAAGTATAATTGTTAAGGAGAAAGCCCCATCAGTTGTCAATACACATTAAAACACTAGAAAGGTATATTAAACATGTAACAGAACACTTGTATTTAGAATCCTTACAATCTCTGTGGAACTGGAGCACTGATCACCTGTAGTATTTGCACCACTTCTGCCATGGATGGCCTGTTGGAAGGTATCTGAGAAGTGCAAACCAATGCCAATTTAAGAATAGGTAAAATATCTTCTTCCAGGTAATTTCCCATGTTTGGATCCACACAATCTAGTGCATTTCCCTGTTCAAGTAATGCCCTCACATGATCGACTAGTATCACAACATTATCTTCGCCTACTCAACTGGCCTTCAACCTGTCACAAATTCGAGGATCAACACCCCAATCCATATATGTCGTATTTTTTGTTTACCCTTAAACTCTGGCATACTGTTGTAGGGGCACTTGAAGCACTTGCTGAATGGAGGCACCAGTAGTAGAAAGAGTATTTACGATAGAAGTACGTGATGCATGGAAACAACAGGCAAAGTTATCCTATCAAGAGATCCAATGTTTGCCAATTGAAGAATTCCAGGTAATGCCACTCTAGTTGAAACTAATGACTCATCTGGCTGATCCCACTTTCTCTTTTTTCTACAACTTTCCAAAATGTTAAAAAGAATCAGAATTATGATAAACTGAACATACTTTTTCATCCAAAATATGCCAAACAGAGAAATGCAGCAAGTTAACTCAGTCCCTTTAGCTCAAGTGAATGTCAATACTACAATCAATTTAGATGTTTTCCATTTTTTTTCTCTTAATATTGAAACTCCAGCACATTATATCCAAGAGACGAGATACCAAAACCATAACCACTAACAAAACAATCATGTCAAGTGGAAAATCAATGGGGAAGAAAAGATATCAAATTAGACAAGAAGAAGAAAATGGGAGGAGACAACCCACGGAAGTAACTGAAATTTGAATTGGGAAGCGACACACTGGTAGCATCTTCAGAATCATCACCACTTAGAACATATGTAGCTTTCTTGCTGTTAGCCCTCTATGGTCTGGCTCTTGGAACCACCACTTGGTTACTCTCTTCTATATTGGCTGAAGTTGGAGACTCATATTCCTCCATTGTGGCCATTCTTTAGCAAATCACTTTCAAGATTAAAACAATACAACACAAAGATATGGAAATCACATACTATTCCAACAACAGAATTAAACTGACAACAAAGAACTTATTTTTTTAGACCTACAATCGAATTTAAATCGGTATAAGACATACTTAAAAAATCAATTAATGAATTACCATGAGTGCTGACGCCACTAAGTGGGCTATCAACTTTTGATCTAGAAGAAATACAGCTACCAATATATCTCAACTTAATCCAACACCCAGTCTCCACCTTAGCATCGCCATTCTTTTTCTTCATCTCCTTTGATTTCCCACCTCCCAAGACCCCACATCCAAGCTATCACCGCTTAATCCCATCTTGAACAAAATCAAATATCATCAAATCTCCAAAACAAAATAGGAAAATAGTTACCAAAAAAATCCCAACTGCCACACCCTTCTATGTAAACAGAATCACCTAAAACACCTCAAATTCATTTTAGGAAATCGGTCGATGGTAACAAAACAAACAATATTCAATCCGGATCAATTTTTGGAGCTAATTCTTTGAGTACACCTATTTTTCACAATATCAGTCATAGAATGAAGACTCTCCAGCTACAAACCAATCAAACCATTAATCACTATTCAAACAACAACATTTTTCAACTCCTATTAATCAAAAAGAAAATCGAAAAGCATTTTCCCCATACCTAGCGAATCAAATAAATATAAATCATTCAAAACTTCAATTGATCAATTATTAATCTACAAACGAGTAAATAAATTCCCTGAATACACACATACCTAAGAGAAGGGACAGAGAGAAAATGGAGAAGAAAGATACCAGAATGGTTCCCTTGATTCTGAACAAAATTGAGGAGAGGGATAAACCAAATAAATCATCAATTTTCGCAAGCTCACTCGATTCTGGACAAAATTGCAGGTGGCCCATGGTGGTACTAGATGAGCTTGATTGAGAGGAGTGGAGTGGTGGTGGTCTGCGATCAAAACGGTGGCCGACGACGGTGGAAATATAGCGAAAATCGTGATTGGTAGCGTGGTTTTGGGTGGTGATTGGAGCTGTTTTCGGCAACTCCATGGCCAAGTGATGACAAAAGGTTGAAGATGGAGGTGAGGGGGTTCGAATGGTAGTGGGGTCTGATGGTCTCAGTGACCGGTGGTGGTCGATTGTCAAGGAAGAATGCGGTTGTTCTTCTGGCTCTCTAACGCACAGTTATGGAGAAAAAGGGGGCCGTTTTTCGTGTTTTGTGATTTTTCCATGTTTTCGCTTCAAAACACTCAAAACGTCAAAAAGATGTTTTGTGTTTACAAGCCAATTTTTATTTTATATTTTTCAAAAATTCGTTTTTGAAAACGTAGAAGAGAACACGTTTTCACTATTTTGAAAAATCGAAAACAGAAAATGGCATGAAAACAGCAAAAAGAACAGGGCTTTAGGTTTTCAATATTCCAAGTTCATGGCTATATTAGAAGGGCTTACGTCACTTACCGATTCTAGTTGGATATTTGAGCACCGGTGAGAGTAAATCTACTTTCGGATTGTGTGTTTACTCTAGGAGGAGATGCAATTTTTGAAAACCTAAAAAATAAACATGCATAACACATTCAATCATGGAATCTAAATTCATGGCATTATTAGATACCGGGAAAAAAATTAAGTGGTTTAAGGATCTACTATATGATATCATTTGGGATTAAGGAATACATTTTCGATATATATAATGTGTGATAGTCAAGTCACATTAACAAAAGCATACAATGATGTATACAGCGGAAAGTTTAAACATATAAGTCTAAAACATGACTATATAAGGAAATTAATCAATAGTGGAATAATGTCTTTAAGTTATGTTAAATCAATTGAAAATCTAACGGATCTTTTAACCAAACCTCTTAATAGAGATATAGTAACATCTAATTCGAGTAGGATGTGATTGAAACTCTTAAACTACATGTCATTAGTAAAAGAGTAATCTACAAGTTCAAAGGGTAAAAACAAGTCATTAGATAAGCGAATAATTTCAATATTATAATCTCAGCAAAAACTCTATCTTAATTATATAATGCTGGTTGTTACTCAAATGAAGGTTAAACTTTAAAGTTCTTAATAAAGTTCAGTACTAAGTACAAGTATTTTTAAGAATAACAAAGATACTAAAAGAACTTCACCTTAATGAACTTCGAGGTGATGCTACCTCAATAGAGAGTTGAAATTTTTTTTTTTTTTAAAGTTCAACATAGGATGAACGCAATGCCATATTAGTGCTAAGTGAGTTTTAGGAACTTGTGAGCACATGCATTTGTGTGTGTGTGTGTTTTCACCAGTATTATCACAAGAAATAAGTGGTTCAAAATTATCATGTTACCTTTAATTTTGATGATACTTTGTGAAAATTACATTATGGTTAGATTCAATAGAAAGATATCTAATGTGTATGCACAAGTGTTGCTACTTTGAATATGTGTATCATTATAAAGTTGAACAAGTACGAGATTGCTATAACTTATTGTTCAACATATAATGATAAGTATATTGGATTGATAATACATCCAACTGGGTGTGTCAGCAAGTACGAAAATATTGAAAGCAAAACGAGAAGAAAAAATGGAGGGATTGAAATTTTTGCCTGGGCAAGTGGCGTGGCACTCGCCCAGCCTTGATTTGGTTTACCCGATGCCAAAACTTTGGCCGGGGCGAGAGCCCGATTTTGTACTAGGCGATTGCTCAAGCCAATTCTTAGACCATTATGTTTGAAATTCTTGTCTGTTTTAGCGCATTTTCTTGAAAAAAAAAATCATCTTTTCATGAACTTTGAGATTTTTTGTGGTGTATGAATGGTAATCTATAAATAGAAGATAGATTATTCTAAAACACATCTAATAATCAAATTCATGATATCATTTCATATAAAAAGAATCTTTTACAAAATTTTCTATACATATTCCTTCATTCAAGTGTTCTTCATGTTCTAAGGAAAAAACTCAGGTGTTTAGTGTTTATCTTCTGCTAAGGCTTGCTAAATCCTACAAATTGTTTGCCGTGAGTCATTTTAAGCATCAAAATCAATCTTAGATGGACCAAATTTAATTTGAGGATAACGATTACGCATTCAAATCATTTTCGGTGTTGATCTTTTTCTTTGGTTTCTCTTCTCCATTCCCTTGTTAGGATCAAGTTTTTCCACCATATTATGGAAGAGCATTGGCAATGAGCATAATGGAGTGACGATCAAATGTTATTTAAAAAAAAAATCTTATGTAGATCGCTCTAAATTTATTGAGAGTTTGGTTGTGACTAAAATTAAAGGATTCTTCTAGGTAGTTTTTAGATTATTTTATGTCGAAGACATTCAAAGTTTTTCCTTAGGCTCCTTTTTAGGTGGTACTAGTGTATAATGATCCGAGTGAAGATGTATATAAATTGCACGTCTCTGAGTTCACTTTCGCAATTAACAGGTGGATAAAAATGATTTGTGCTATGTTTGTGTTGAGGTTTTATCTTAGGATGTTACCTTAGAACTATACGTTTGACTTTGTTGTGATCATCAAGTGGTTCCCACCACTGACATCCTTGCACCAAATGAATACGCATTTAAGAAAAATGAAGTATAATTATTAAAAATTGGGTCAAAAATTCATCTTTGCAACCAAATGAATAATCGAATATTTCTTATTTTTAGCAAAATTCTCAAAATTTTGGTTTAATTTTCAAGAACCGCCATCATGGAGGAGAACAGTTGAAAGCCAAGCATT